GTTACTCTGTATCTCGAAGAGGGCAAGTTCGACTGCGAATAACGTGTGTGTTATATCCTCGCCGCCAAATGTGTCAGAATTGCAAATGCGTGCGGACCGACGAAACACATCGAGAGGCGGCGGCAGCTCGATAGAAACAGGGCGCGAATTCCGTAGTGCGAGTTCTAGAATATATTTGAAAACACTGGGTTGTGGAGAGACGGAGAATGTTGGCATCGGGGCCCGTGAAAGAAACCGTAGGGACAATGGTGCGAATCGCAACCATAAAAAGAATCTTAGACCTACTTTACTATGGAAATTTCAAAGGAAGCCCTATAATTTTAGTCGCATTCTGGATGTCGGCCCTTTGACTCTGGGCAATAAACGACGTTTCTTATGTTCCTATCGTGCAAAAGTTACATCTCAAACATCGTGACCAATATTTTTAAATATTTAAACACTAGCTACGTGTAAATTAATTACATTAATAATATGAACGACTCTCTATTCATTAAAATTTTCGAATATTTCTTTTCATGTAAATTTTTGTATTATCATAATACTAAGTGATATTTTAATCAAATGATAACTTTATCAGTCACAAGGAGATATTTAAGTAATTCAAGCATTAATTTCGACGATTAATATATAATACTAAAAGAGAAGAATATTTTTTATTTCTAAAATACATATGAATTCGCGATTAGAATGCAGAATTTATACAGGAATGTTTTCCGCGTTTCTTTTAACGATTGAACGTGTATATCAGCCTGTCTAGAAACGACAGAACCGTTGAAGAGAATGTTAGGGTTAACAAGTATAAGCCATCATCCCTTTCGCTCGTAAACGCCTCGTAATTATAACGAGACGTTAGACTTCGGATATAACGAGTACAGATGATTGAAATAAAAAAGCAAGCCCCCGAGGTGCTAACCCTTTGGATTGGTTCTTGTTAGGTCGATACTGATGATCCACAAATCAATCGAACAATCCCATATTTTAAACATTTAATTGACTACGAGCGTGGATGTTTATTATGTGAGATTACACAATCATCACGTATAGGAAGTATTATTATGTTGCGATAAAGAATCGATCGACTACGACAAACGTAAATATTGTTATATCATGCGGACAGATCTAAACTATTTTTGCTGTCACTTACTTGATCTGAAGTGGTTATAAGCTTTGAGATTGGATAATTCTTTCTGGTTATAAGATCCACGTCTTTGCAATCTATCTTGGGAAGGCAATACACAATACGTTGATTTCAGTCTTGGATCCAAATATTGTGGACGCGTGCAAATGATTTTGTATCACACAAAAAATTTATTTCGTTACGGAAGCGTCGAAAACAGGGAAAAGTTATTCGCGTATGACAATTTGGCGATTCTCGATTGTTTTATGATGTCATCGTTTAATGTTCCGGGTGATTAAAAATATCATGTACATTATATTCAACAATATTCATTAACTGAATGCGTTTCGATATTAATAAAAAAGAAATAAGTTAGACAATTATATATACGTATGTATATATGTATGTGTGTGGTGTGTGTAAAGTTTTTATAGAAAAAAAATGATATAATAAAACTTGAGATATAGACTTCAAAACTTGTTTAATAAAGCGGAATCAGAAGAGAAAAAGCAAACACGGAGGAAAAACGGCAAAGTTGTTTTCGTTTATCTTGACGCAAGCATAATCTCCTGTTTATTCTCATTAAATCGCAATATAACGAATGTATTTAATCGGTAAAAAATCCGACTCCACCTGGATGACCTTGCACATGTCGGATGAGATTGCGTTCGTAATTTTTCCACAGCTGGATGCAGCGAGTCGCGTTTCTTAAAAGCTTCGCGTAATTGAACCGTGCGCCTCGTCGATGGTATGTCGCCGACCGGATAATGGCTTATTAACAAAGCGTTGCTGAGGAACGCGGAGAAGTGACAGAAGGGTTTTGACGAGAGAATGGTACGATGCAATCGGGAGGAGAGACGCGTAGGAAATCGCGCGAATCCCGACGCCGGGTTACGTCACCGGTTTCTTCGACGTCTTCGTAGAAAGGGGCTTCTAACACAACGGGGCTTTAATTACACCGATATCACGGTAATTAAGCCGATCAATGCGTGCCATTGTGTGCCGTGCGGAGGGCCCGAGCGCTTCTCCCGGGTCCTATCCATAATCCCGACCACGCGAGCCTCCTTCGCGCAGCACAAAAGTACCCCACCTCTCTATAAAGGAAACATGGATGCATCGTACCTGCAGTCGAATCTTCACCGCGACCACCTCACGCTGTGGAAAAGCCACGACAAAGAACCGAGAGGAGAATAAACATAGTGACTCTCGATCTCGTTGATGATATGCAATCCGATCTGAGACTTCTACCGGAGAACACGAGTGTCTCAAACACGAGTGTCTCAAACACGAAGAACCACCGCGGGCGCGCTCGAATGAATCTCTCGTGGAGCGGTTATTTCATTCGATCCTTCGACCAGATCCGAGACTGATGGAATTCAATAGAGAGGAACGCTTCGCGCAGCATTATTTCTGTGCCCCTCAATCTTCTTAACCCTTTAAGACATGATGACCGAACACGAATATTGAACCATATTCGGCACTTTTAGTGTTGTCTAATAACAATATTGTATTTTATAAATAGATTTAAATCTTATATATATACAATTTGAGGTACATTTAATTTTTATTCAATTTTGGCATTGGATGCAATTTTCATATAAAACTAAAAGAGTTCTGATTAAAATGTATATATATAATACTAGTTTCATTTTTTTAATTTATAATGTTATTGTATTCATTAAGAGATGAATACATAGCAATATATGATTGCAATATATAACAGTCAATTAAAAGCAGCATGATATTTCCGTTTCTTCATTAATGAACTATATTTATTTCGAATATTACAATTGCCAATATATCATTTTGCTTAAATATACGATTGTATACATCCTAAATTAATATGCAATTTACATGAAAAACGTCAGAATATCTCATAACAACGAATAGATGAAGTCATTAGTTAGATGTTGCATGCAGCATTGAAAGATATCTCTTGATTTTCACACATCAACAACCACATTCGGTGCAACATTAATATCTCAATCGAGCAAGAAGAGAAAAAAACGATATGTTCATATTTCTTTACGAATACTTGTTTACTTCAATAATTAACTATTGCACGCGTGTGCGCCGAAGAACATCGACACGGAGGGATGCGTTTATGTCTCGCGTGAATAATTTCATAATCATCAGCGATACGAATAATCATCCGCTGTCGATTCTTCGCTAAACTCCGCCTTACGACACGGAACTTCGCATCAGAGAATCATCGTTCCTCGAAGTAATCACCATTTGACGAGCTATGCGGACTTTAAAGTGCCTATGTATATGTGCTTCTTCAAGTTGTTCATTGGAAAAAATATACAGCGTTATATACGGTCAATGCTCCTCGATTTTCTTGCTTACGCTGATCGTGTGCAATCACGTTATGATCTTGTTTACACGTTTTTTTGTGAGGTATTCCATCGGATATCCGAATAAATAAATTTATTACATGGCGTAAGATTTTCGTACTTATGTATATTATATTGAAGTTATCTTATTCTTGTCATATAGCAGATTATATATATTTATTATTTTATTTATATTAAAATTTAAAAAATGAATAAATTCCTGTATTAATGCAAAATTATTGTTATCTCCTACGCGATATTTTACGGCAGATATTTGTAAGAATATATTTTGATGATCCACTCGTGAACTTATTGTTTATCAAATCTCCTATTAAATTCGAGTGCAAGATACAGATAGCAATCCAACAAAGTGAGAAAGAAGAAAGACGCGTTTGTTTGCTACCGCCCATACAATTCTCAAGGTTTGTCGTAAGAGTTAGAACATCGGATGTCTCTTTGTGAAGACCAGATTCATCCGGTGTTCCCCACTGTTTCATGGAAGAAAAATGCTCAGAGATGCGCCGACTGTGTTCCTCACTCTTTTGATTTTAACGTCTGTTTGCCTCGCCATTTCCTGAAACATGTACCAGTGGAGACAGACTGGATGCGTTCAATTTTTTTTTCCATAACCCCGTGCAGGGATACGATGAGAGTTCCATTAGCTATGTTTACTCGGGACTGGAAGGTATACTACGTGTAAAAATTTATATCGAGCCTTACTAAATAAATTTGCATTTACCGTAGTAATAAAAGTTTTAACAAAACTATATTTGATAGATTGAATTTAAAATTAAATTAAGTTAAACTTTCAAGATATATGCAGAATAAACGATATGCAAGACACATATAATATGTAAAAAAAAAGATAAAAACATAAAACAAAAAAAGTATCCATACTTGGATGCAACAAATAGAAGTTAGAAAAAAAATGTAAAATGCAATATATTAAAATCTATTATTTATATATACTTGGCGATTTTTTTTTTATTTAAAGAAAAATGTAAAATGCAATATATTAAAATCTATTATTTATATATACTTGGCGATTTTTTTTTATTTTAAGCGTATAATAATAAATAGGTGCTTAATTATAATATGTAAAGATGATCGCAAAGTGTCCGTTGTAATTAAGTTAAAATTAGAAAAAAAATCGCGTGATAAGGCCGGATCTACAATAGGTATAGTAAGCCTTTAGCCTTTAGGATTATATCGGTCAAAAGTTTTAAATCGTAAGCTTTAAGAGCTGGGATCTGGCCAGCTCGCTTAAAGCTTAGAGATTAGAGCATCAGGCAGTGCGGGAAACATTTCTGGCCGGAAATTATGTTATATTTTAGGGCTTAGAACAGAAGGCTAAAAGCTTACTACACCTATTGTAGATCCGGTCTAATCTATTATAATAAATATTTATTTATTTAAAATATATTGCAAAATTAAAATTAAAATTAAAATAATTTTATATTGTAAAATTAAAATTCATATTAAAAGAAATTTTTATAATTAGAGTATATATTGTGTAAATTTGAGTTAACCAACTGTCTTATTTTCAGGTCACGGTCACCAGCACTACTACGACAAGTACGAACACAGTCTATCCTAATATAAATGACATGGATTGGTTCGCCGGTGTCGCCGAGGAAGAATTGCTATATTATACCGGTGTCAGCAACGATGTCGATTCCTTATGGGCTGTTATTGGCAACTTTGTACCGCCACCACCTAGACCACCTTTTTTACCCGAAGAGAGCATCGCCACCGATGGACTCACCACCTGCGACTTGTGTTCCTGGGCATGGAGAAACGATAGGCATTCTTTCCCCCGGAAAACGGTGGATGGTACCCTTGGTAAGTCTTACATTTCTCACAGTACTAGAATTACATTACTTTAATCTCTATTCCACAAACGATCTGCTAGTTATTTTAGCTATATACTACGAATAATTAGAAGCTAGAAAATTCTCATATATAAACTACGCTTTTATAAAAACCAAAATATAAATGGGTTAAAGATTATATGATAAAACTGCATAAAAAGTAACACACCTCCGATTTAATCGCTACTTAAATTCTGAGTAAATCCCCGCGAGAAATAAGTGGGGAACGGCACCGGTTTAGAAGATATAACACATTGAAATTTAAGAGTTTTAATGCTTTTTCTCAGGTATTATAAAGTAATATTAGCAAAAGTGAAGTTTGTGTACGTTGTATTTGTTGTAGAACAGACGAAAAAGTGTTTATTTACATTTACAGGATAGGTACATGGTCACGGATATTTTGTCAATAATGTGTTTCACTTATTTCTCGCAGTTCGTTAACTGCTTTTATTGACAAAATATCCATGAGTATATACCTATCCCGTAAATGTAAACAAACACTTTTTCCACGTCTGCTCTACACAAATACAACATAAACAAATTTCATTTTTCCTTATTTTATAATAGAAAAGCATTAAAACTACGAAACTTTAATCTGTTATATCTTCTAAATTAATGTCGTCCCCCACAAATTTCTTGCGGGGAATTACTCAGAAGAACCTCCCCTACAACATTATATATTTAAGTGGCAATAAAATCGGAGGCGTGTTATCTTTTATGCAATTTTACCGATTATATAAAATAAAATTATATTTTTTGAAAGTAAAGACCGTGTAATATAACCATGAAAATTCGATTAAAATTTAAAAATTCATAAAGATAGCGATAAACCAACGAGAATCTCTTTTAGTGACAAACCCACTGATATCTAAATAATATTAGCCAAAATCGATATTAGAGAAATAATAACATTTAATTTCTCGTCATTTTGTTTTATATATCGTTAACTTTTAAATATGTAAGAATATTTTTTATTAAAATATGTTAATTGATCCATATCAAGTTATTTGAGCGCGGTTGAAGAAATTTTCATCGGATACGAATAGAAGCACTAGTAAAATATTTTTGCTTCATTAGTCAAGTAATACGACGTTCGTCATTTACTATAGTCTGTCGGTTTTTCTTGTCATCACTTCAACTAAAAGTTCTCGAAAGATGACGAGTGGTCATTTCGAGCGAGCCATGCATCTGTCCACACCGAGACCAGGTTATTCTTCGTATACACACTCGACTCTTGTTTGCAACGTGTTTATTCGTTAAACAGCTTTTCCCGTCTAGTGCGTGCTTTAGGATTCGGATGGATCCCTCTTGAACAAACGTTAACGAAATTCATTGTAACGATGCTGTGAAATTCCTATTCCTTCTCTACAAGAACTCTTCTAAACCAAACGTTTATCCATATTCTGTCTTAATTAAAACGTATACAGTAATTTACTATTTCATATATTATTGCAATATAATTTCACAAAAAAATATGAAGACGAGAGACTCGAAGATGACATTAGCCTTTTACTGGGGCAATAAATGATCACCTGGCAACGGCTGTGGTAGAATTCGTAAGAAGAAACATACAACTTGGCTTGTTACGATATTACTCTGTGTGGAGATCTTTATTTCTTACTCTACCTGCCGTATGCAAAAAGTATTACACGAGAATTTTCATTAATCCGAATTGCTCCAAATCAAGGGTTGGACACAGGATGAACGACGACGCAATCACGAAAGAAATCGCTATTAAGAGCACACGATGTGATCGTCTTAAGCACGTCCATTATACGTAATGATAAATAATGCGGACATGTGTGACGCACATATACACGCCGCACTTTTTGCCATATTTTTCGTTCGTGATAGTCTTAATTACGGGCATAAACTATATTTAATACGAATATCTATATAACGGTAATATTACTTCTCTCATAATTAAATGTTGAGAATAACGGTACATAATAATACTATCATATTAAATATAGAGATAATCGTGTTGAGAGAAGAATATTAAAATACGAATCATTATAAGATTGCCATGGAAGATTGCACGCTTCGTGCTTTTCTATTGCTCTTATCTCTTTTCACTCATTTCTCATCTCTATCATATCATATATGCATGAATACTTAAGATAGGTAAACTAAGGGAAATATAATAAAAGAATTAACTTAAGTCGATTTTCGCAGCTTGTAAAAAATCCGTTTTGTTGAAAAAATTTCCATTATATTTTATGAAAATATAAATGTCAAACGCACATATCCAACGCTCTAATCTTTTGACAATTTTTATTAAATTTGGCCTCAAAATGAAGAAAATTAAACGTACCACGATAAAATATATAGATATTGATGCGAATACATTGCAACGACAAATTCTTGTTTTTTTCTTAAATTTCCCTCCCATTGGGAGATAAAGCATCAAATTGCTATGACAATTGTCATTTTTAAAGAAATTTATCGGACCTCCTTATTTTCCCCTATCAATACCGTGCAAGCTGTAAGGGATAATTCGAATACTTTCCCCCAACGTAGAACCGACCTCCAACATCCGGTGGATATGCTTCGACCAATCAGAAACAGGCCGGTCCCGCTCCCATGGTTCCCCTTCAAGATCGGTGTTCGCACGTACGCACGAAACATACGCGAAGGCGTACGTAAGTTTCTGCATCGTGACACGCGGAGTCTCCCCACTTCTTCTTTCCGATGGGCCTCTTCAGGGGCCTCGTCCCTTTCGCCCTTCAGCCCCGCGGGCCCCGTCGTCCGGGCACGCATTATCGCCATTACCATGAATTCCTGCAGTTATTACCCCTCTGTTGCACCGCCACCAAAATGGCGGCTGGACGCATCCTACCGTGCAAGGAGGACGCACTCCGCCGTCTGCTCCTCTTTTTATCGTGGCGCCTGTGCTGCTGGCATGTCGTGCCACGTTATAACGCTCGACAATTAACGTCGAGAATGGCGGCGGCCGATGGTAGGGATAATTGACCCTGTCAGGACTATGACAGCACTTTTACATGATTCGCTAGACTGATCTCATCTTATATTTTATATTTTGTGTTAGATAAAGATAACATATTTCCGGTTGATGAAAGCCAAAGTTATATTAGATTTGAATCTAATCTTCTTATTCTATCCTCTTTGATCATTTCAGTCTTTGTTCCCGGTGATGATAAGACAGCTTAATGTGTTGCAAGTTCAATCGGAATATCGTAGATATTCCTTATGATTAGCAGATATATAACCATTAATTAATGTCGAATGAAATCCTTAGTTATTACATTATACTAATTAAACCTTCATTACAAGCTGTTTTACACTCGACGAAAATTTTTCCATTATGTTATCTTCGCAAGTATACATGTCATGTACGTGTATTTCACACTTATGAAAAATGAATCATGATGAAATGCGACGAAATGTCATTGTCACCAAATCGCAAAATATGACGCACGAGGGAAACTTGGCAGTAAATAAAGAAAATGAAGCTGCGAGGCGAGAGAATGACGCGTTGGGGGTTTCAAGGAGGTTGGCAACGGCGGTAATCATCGCGTCACTTCCCATCCTTCACGACGTAATAATTACGAGATCGCGCCTCTTATTCTCCACGTGATGCAGACTCGTGCTTGTCGACGAGGAAAGACAACGAGGGAGGCGGGAAGACTTGGGCCAAAGAAAACAGAGAAGAAAGAGCGGGCTTAATGCGAGCTTGCGAGTATCTTTCGCTCTCTTCTGCCTCGTGTCTCGACGTACGTCTCGGCGTGACTTCAACGGCGAGCAACAACTTGTACATTTCGCACTCGGAGATTTGCGCGAAGATTCGTTAATGCTCGACGAGGGTGGTAAAATATTTCACGCGAAGGACCAGTAAGAGATTGAAGCATATTTTCAGTGAAGTATACCGACTTAATAAAAAAACACACACATAATTTGAGTATCTGAAATTTTCGAGTACACAATCATCAATGTAAAAATCGAAAAATGTTAACATTGCTTATAAGTCTTATAAAGAAACCAAAAAATTTCGAAGGCATTTTAAATTTTCATAAATAATTTTATGTTTCACAAAAGAATGCAGTACTCTATCTTTAGATCCATACACACATAATACATCTATATTTTAATCATAAATTATTAATTAGTATAATATATGTGTCTATATAGAGAAAGAAAAATATGATTTGATCTTGAAGATTTTCTTCTAATAAATAATTGAATAATTAAAAAAATATATAAAAAAATATGTTTTTAAATCTTTAACCATATCTAACAGAGTTTTATAATATAATTGCACGTAATTCATAAATATAATCTTTAATCTGTGTGTATGTATAATAAATAATCAGAAAAAAATAAATTTATATTATACATTTATGGATACTTGTATATCCAGTTTTAAAATTTGCTTTCTATTGTGCTAAGAATCTCGTGCTCCAGAGCGGTTAATCTTAACGCTTTACGTCGGAATATGAATCGATTTAATAAAGCGCGCGATGTGTGCGTGTGGCGCGCGTATAAATCGCCAGACATTAATTGCATCATGGCATCTTGCAAAGCGAACTACACTGTACAAAAGCGACTAAGCTTTATTTCCCCCCCCCCCCCCAAAAAAAAAAATAAACGAAAAATAACGTACACGAAGTTGCAACACGCAAATCGACTATATTCAAATACTTATCAATTAATACATTAAAGTATTAATAATTACATTAATTGTAGGAACAGTTATTCGAATTAAAATATGTACATTGAGATATCTTAATTTTTATATACGTCGCGGAAGAAAAATTCTTTGCCATAAGTAGAGTTTTATAAATAATCAGAAATCGCAATTCTAATTCACGTCATGTGTCTTTAAGTATATTTTATTAATTTCATGGTACGCGCTAACCAGTAGATAACCATATTTTCTCGGGTATATTCGTACTGGACTGATATTATCTCGTTGCGTATATGCCTGGACCAAGGGAACGTAACGAGGCATCC